GGGGGGGGAGTCCGGCAAAACCAGACGAGCCAAAAAACGTCCCAGGAAATGTCCATGATCTGCAAAGTGGTGTTGACACAGCTGCCCACGTTCGGACATGATGTCACTGGGTATTGCATCCCATCATCATCCTGTAAAGCATGTGGCTGTATGAAGTAGCCGTCCGGCAAAACCAGACGAGCCAAAAAACGTCCCAGGAAACGTCCATCATCTGCAAAGTGGTGTTGACACAGCTGCCCACGTTCGGACATGATGTCACTGGGTATTGCATCCCATCATCATCCTGTAAAGCATGTTGCTGTATGAAGTAGCCGTCCGGCAAAACCAGACGAGCCAAAAAACGTCCCAGGAAATGTCCATCATCTGCAAATGGGTGTTGACACAGCTGCCCACGTTCGGACATGATGTCACTGGGTATTGCATCCCATCATCATCCTGTAAAGCATGTTGCTGTATGAAGTAAATGTGCCAACTGAATTGACATCCAGCATTCTGTAGAGCTCGTTCTGGTCTCTGCTTGATTGTTCAGCACGATTGAGCTCCGGTATGCACACAGAGTCTTGCAATATGTCGTCAAGTAGGGTGTCAACTTTTGGCTTCAGCGATGGAGATTTTGTATAAGACCCTGTGTTTCAAACGCTGCCCCCTGTGTCACTGTGGTTGCCGCACATGGCTTGTCATGATGAAAGTGGATTTTCGGGGTGCATATTGAGCATGGCATCTTGACTTGGTACTGACATGATAGCTGGTAGGGTGTGAGTTCTTTGCCTTCAACAATGAATATTATGTATAAGCCCCGCTGAGTCAATGTGGGTGCTGAACATGGCCTGTCATGGTCAAGGTGTCTTCAAAGTGTGTTTCTGAGCGCGCTCGTGAAGTTCGTGTGTGTGTGTGTGTGTGTGTGTGGTGTCATGTTCGCTATCCACAACTCACAACTGATCTGAGTTGTGTGCAGCGAACATAACACACATTATTTATTGATTGATAGTCTATGATCGAGGACAGAAATAAACACACACAAAAAATAAAAATAATGCAATAATACAGAATCTATATCTATCTCCATATCTATCTATCGAGATATAGATATAGATATTCTACTTATTCTAGCTAGTTTATTGATAGAAATAATATCCTATAAAGAATTACTAATTCTAGAATTAATAAATTATACAATAAAACATGATGTACTGTATAACAGATAGAATCTATCAACACATACTACTAAAGCTTACTCGCCCTCGATGTGACGCTGCGCACCGAGCCGTTTCTTTTCTTTTGCACTTTGGCCATACGATTTTGATCTTCGCGGCTGGTGTTGCCGGAAACCTGATTTCTTAACTGTTTTTCGAGCTCTGCTTTTGCGGCACGTTGGCTTTTTGGAGTGCTGTTGTGTCAACGCCTGTGTGCCCTCTTTGCTCTTCGCGTTGCCGTCATTGATTTCTCTGCTATCTAGCAATTTCGTGGTGATTTGTGGTGTGCGGTGTTTGGGCAGTGTCGCGGCGTTGAGTTTTTTTGGATGGATGTGGTCTCGATATGAGGCATGATGCATGTGCGGACTCTGCAGAGGACCAATGCTGTTTGGGGGAGGGGTGCTTTCTTTAGTGTGCTTTCATGTGGCTGTGTGCTTGGGCGAGGTTCATTGTTTGTTACAGTTCGGAATGGCGGGTTTGGCGTCCTCTGCGGTCAACTTAGTGTTTCAATGCGGGCCTGTTGGTGTGGGGGTGTTCTTTGTCTAGATTCAGCCTGCATTTGGTCTGGTTTTGGGCCTGGGTTCGTTGTTTGTTTAGAGTTCGGAATGGCGAGTTCGGTGTCCTGTGAGGTTCCTTTAGTGTTTTGATCCGTGCCTGTTGGTGTGGGGGTGTTCTTTGTCCAGATTCAGCTTCCGTTGGTTTCGGGCCCTGTTCTTTGTCCAGATTCAGCATCCGTTGGTTTCGGGCCCGGGTGCATCTGACGCGTTTTCTGCTGGGCCGCTTTCCTTTGTCATGGTGCGGTGTCTGCCCTCGCTTGAGCTTGGAGATCTAGAAAAAGAAAGTCGCAAAAGTTGATGGGTGGTCCAGCGGTTTTACCTGGTCGTCTTCCTGGGGAAGGTGCGCAGTCTCACGGCGTTGCAGGTGCATCATGCATTTCCCCGCACGCTGGGGCATGTGCGTTCTTGGGGAAGGGGTGAGGTGGCTTTTTTGGCCCGTTGGAAGCAATATGAGGCCGGATGCTTTTTGGAGGGTTTTCTTTTTTTTTTGGGGGGGGGGACTGTAATGTGGCTGTGTTCTTGGGGGAGGTTCATTGTTTGTTTAGTGTTCAGAATGGCGGGTTCGGCGTCCTCTGCGGTTTGCTTAGTGTTTCAATGGGGGCCCGTTGGTGTGAGGGTGTTCTTTGTCTAGATTCAGCCGCCCCTATGGGTCCTTCCGTTGGCCTGCATTTGGTCGGGTTTTGGGCCAGGGCGCATCTGACATGTTTTCTGCTGGGCCACTTTCCTTGTCGTGACGCGGTGTCTGCCCTCGCTCGAGCTTGGATAGGTGAAAAAAAAAAGGTCGCAAAAGTTGATGGGTGGTCTGGCGGTTTTACCTGGTCGTCTTCCTGGTGAAGGTGCGTCTTCGGTTTGCTGCTTGCCATCTGCCAAAATTTGCAATGAATCGGGATATGCAATGTGTCCCGATGCACGTCCGTCCATTGGGCTGCATTTAGTCTGGTTGTGGGCCCGGGTGGATCTGACGTGTTTTCTGCTGGGCTGCTTTCCCTTGTCATCACTCGGTGTCTGCCCTCGCTCGAGCTTTGAGAGCTGAAAAAAAAAGGTCGCAAAAGTTGACGGGCGGTCTTACCATGACGCAGTGCTCGCCATCTGCCAAAATTTCGAATGAATCTGGATATGCAATCCGTCCCGATGCGTGCTCGTTGTTGGCAGATGGCGAGGAGTGCAGCTGGGCCCTTGCTCCCTATGTTTGCTTGGTGGTGAACTGTCAGTGCGCGAGCATTTGTGTTGTCCAGTGTTTTCCTGACGGCGGGATTGTGATGATGACTTCCGGAAGGGCTTGCATCGGGCCTTCTTAACCTGCCTGCCGTGGGTTGGGGTGATTGTGGGCCTCACTTCCCTGCATAACATTGTGCATGGCTTTGGACTCTTTGTAGGGCTGTTGCGTTGGACCTGTCATGCAATGTATCTGGCTCATCTTCTGTGCCGTGGCAGGTTACTGTCCTCTTGTTTGCTTGGGTTGGGATTGAATTCCCGATGACCAAAGTTTGCGGTGACTAAGGTAACTGTCGGCCCAACACAACGGACTCCACAGATGACAGCGCTTAGGGCTGTGCCGACCCGCCGTGACACAGGGAGTATACTCCTGCCCTGGCTAAGAATTGAGATGCTCAACTGACATTTCCGTTACCTCTGCTTCAAACAAGTGTATCAATAGCATGCTAGGCAGCTTCAGCGGATTCACTGGAATCCTTGCTCACACAAACGTGGCCTCTGGTAACTGGCTCAGATAACAATCCAACAGCTCAACTCATTACCAGCATCTGTTCGGCTCACGATTCCGTGGATCATCGTCGCCGTGAGTCTCTGGTCAGGCTCTCCTTCCGTATCGCCCCAGTGTCAAATGCTTTGTGATCATTACATCGTTCTACGCGCTGCTTTTTGTTGGGACTGGTCGACCAAAAATCTATTGTGGTTCTTTGACTGACGTTGGCTTTTGTGTCAGTAGTCTTTTCGAAACTTTCGTAGTTCCTCATGCTCTCATTGTACTTTTCTGAGGACGCATCCTGTGTACGTTTTTGGGATCGCATTGCTGCTTTGTAACAGTTGGTCGCCAGGCTGATATGTGCTTTTCCTAATTTTTTGCATTCGGCATGTATCATTTTTTCAGTGTGTAACTCACTCGTGTCATTTGCCATGCTTGTCAGCAAGTGTTTCCCTCGTCACGGTTACCTTCGTACGTATAAACGATGCGTACAAGCTTCTACGAATTTCACGGTTTACAAATGGGTGTGGAACTTCCCGATCTATACACACGGGTGTCACATCAGATCACCATGCCATGCCGAATGCCTGTCTCGTGTGTTTTCGCCTCCTCGTTATGAGGTGTGTTCGACATCTCGCTGTGCTCCGTGTGATGTCCATCTCATGTGTTTCCTTTGTTATGAGCTGTGTTTGACATCTCGTTTTGCATCATGTGTTTTTGCCTCATCTGCCACTTGGTCACACTAAACTGCTCTGGATATCCATCAGCATTTTCATGAAACTGGCTATACAACTTCTGTCTCCTCAACTTGCCCTCGCACCCTTTCAACTTTCCCAATATTACCGCTTCCAAAACCAGTGTCTACCCTCAACAACCAAGCCATCATTTCTACCTCGACTGACGCCATATACTTCACTGTGTCTGCCCTCCGCCATAGAATCAATGACTTCTATTTATATAAATGATTTATACATACATATACAAACATACGTACAGAGAGTCAGAGAGAGGGAGAGAGAGAGAGAGAACAGACTGTGAATACCTCCCTTCTCAGATCCAATTCGATACAAACACTTTTCTGAGTACAGCATTCCTGCTATGT